TGCCATGTTCTTTGGAAGCTTGTTTAGACCAAGTTAATGGCCTTTTAGGCTTCCTCCACATGAATAGGAGTTCACTTTTTGAATAATAAGAATTATATGTCACAGGGGGTGAATCAGGATTTTAGAGATGCTTAGGTGGTGCATGGCCAAAGAAAGGTTGGGAACTACTGCTCTAAGTCATTGATATTGCTAAGCCCCATATGCTCATTAGACACCCAGCCTCTACAGCACATCTTCCAAACCTCCTTCAGCAGTCATCCCAAGGTTGGAAAACAGTCTTGCCCTCAACCTGCACTATGCTGTATTAACAATATTATAAATATACAACAGACCCAGTGCACAAATTTGTGCATGGGTGAAGTCTGGCTGGCCAGCCCCAATCGGTGCAGATCCGGGTGGGGCCTGTTGGGAGGAGGAGAAGGTGGGAGGTTGGCTGGCTGGCCCGCCCCTGATCGGGCCAATCAGGGGATGGGGCTGGCCAGGGGGAGAGGCTGCAGGAGGTTGGCTGGCCAGCCCCACCCCTTATTGGGTTGGGGGGCCAATTGAGGGTGGGGCTGGCCATAGAGAGGGGCTATGGAGCGTGGGCCAGCTGGCCCTGCCCCTGATGGGGGTAGCGGGGCTGACCTGGGGTGTGGCCAGGTCGGGGGTGCGGCTGCGGGAGGTTGGCTGGCAGGCCCCACCCTCTATTGGGGTGAGAGGTGATCAGGGGTGGGGCTGGCCAGGGGGAGGAGCTGCAGGCCAATTGGTGGTAGAGTCCCATTAGGGGTGGGGCCAGCTGTAGGGGAGGGGCTGCAGGAGGTTGGCCAGCCAGACCCCTTCCCTATTGGGGTTGGGGGTCAATCAAGGGCGGGGCTGGCCTGGGGGAGGGGCTGCAGGCCTATCGTGGAGAGGTGGGCCAATCAGGGGTGGGCTGGCCAGGGGGAGGGTCTGCAGGAGGTTGGCCGGCTGGCCCCACCTTTAATTTGGCCAGTTCGCTGGCTATGGTGGGCATCATAGTGACCAGTCATTCTGGTCTTTATGGCGTTTCAGTCCCTGGCTTTTTATATATATAGATTATTGACAATAGTCAATGTTTATTAAAGTACTTACTATGTACAAGCCATAGTGCACAATACTTCACATGCATTCTCAAATATTTTTTTTATAACCTGACCTGATGAGGTCATTCATTATCCCCATTTTATAGATGAAACCATCTTAAAGAAGTTAAGTTGTTCATTATCACTGATGAGAAGGAATTTGAATTCAGTTTTGCTTTACTTTAAACTCGTGCTGCCTTGTATGCTCAATGCCTATCTTAATATGGAGTTTCCACACCCCAGAAACAGCCTCTGAAACAAATATTTAAGTGCAAGCAGTTTAGCATTTGGGAGGCAATCCCAGGAACAGTGGAAAGGGAGTAAGAAAAGTAAGTGATGGGAAGAAAGCTAATAGAGGGTGTGCTATCAAGCCAGCCATCCCTGGAGCCCAAGCCTTCTGGAGGACTCGTGGAGACAGTGGAGAACACACCTCAGAATTATCCCAACCTGAGGGATGAGGGAGCCCCCCACCATGTGCTAAGGGCTGCTTCCTCACCAAATTTCCATCTGTCATTGACTGAGGGCTGCCTCCAGGGATATTACTTTCTGGCATTTCCAGCTTGCCCAGCTCCTGGCCTGAGCTTGCTTCCTTTGCTCCAGAAAAATAGTGCTCTGGTAGGAAGTCCTAGGTGTTCACAATAAGCATATGGATTGGGGCACCACTAACATCTGCTGCGATGCCTTACAGAGATTTTAATGAAACAAACTTTTAGCGTACTAATCACTACCATTTCTCAACTTGGGTCAGGGCAGTAACTGACTGACACTGTACTGTATTAAAAGCACACTTGACCCTCAAACCTGGCACATTGCCTCAAACCAAGCCTTCCTTCCTTGGAATGAGATCATTCCAAAGGGGCTCTCTTAGTCCTCGCTGCCAACAGGCCCTTGTCAGACCCATCCCACTAGCCTTCCTGGCATGACCAGAAAAATCTGAATCCCAGCATGACCTAAATTAAGCTGTCAAACTGAGGCCCCTGTAACATATGGTTTGTATTTCTCCTTTAAGGAGAAAAACATTCAGGAAGCAATAAAATCGGGATTTTATAAAGAAAAAGAAGTGGGCTCTTTCTTTCCTAAATTAAGTTATTTTGACTAAAATGAACACTGCAGATTCTTTTCAAGTTTCAGTGGGAAATGCTAAGATTGTGGCTCAATTCCATTTTCTCTGTGTTCCTTGCTTTTCTTTCCTTGATGCTGTTCAGTCAGGCACCTCACTATTCCTAGTTAACCAACAACTTCCAAGATCATCAGGGCCCTGCAACAGAAGGAGCTGGACACTCAAGTGTGGAAAGCTGGTTTTGAATTAGGTAAAAATAGAATTCTTAACCTGAAATTCTTGGAGAGATTCTGGAATGCTTCTGATAAATTATATATCCTATATAATAAAACCCTAATATGCGCATAGACCAAACGGTGGAATGACCGGTTGCTATGATGCTCACTGACCACCAGGGGGCAGATGCTCAATGCAGGAGCTACCCCCTGGTGGTTCGTGTGCTCCCACGGGGGAGAACCACTCTGCCAGAAGCCGGGCTCACAGCTGGTGAGTGCAGTGGCGGTGGTGGGAGCCTCTCCCACCTCTGCAGCAGTGCTAAGGACCCCTTGGGGTCCCAGACTGTGAGAGGGTGCAGGTCGGGCTGAGGGACTCCCCTCAGTGTACGAATGTCGTGCACCAGGCCTCTAAA